TTGCCTCTTCCTCATTAAAACCTCATCCTTGTATGCTGTGACGATATGTTTTTGGATGTTTATCTCGTTCCGGTGAATCTGTACGTAGTCTGTTAATAACTCTTATCAATTACACCAAAATTTCTTCTTGTTTCCTGTCCGTTGTTGTGGTCTGTCACACACTGCCTTCTGCTGACTCCATATTCCCCCTCCTTCTGGGCTGCTCCTCTGCCGCTGTTCATTGTTTTAATAATGTTTAAGCTTTTCTATTTTTTGGTATTAGTAAACAACTACATATCGACGAGTTAATACAATGCACAGAAGGAACAGTTGATGGTTAACATAGTCAACTAACATGTGAAGACAGTCATTATATGAGCAACTTAGGTATCCAGTTAATAACAAACATTACATTACATTGCTCTCACCTTAAAACCAAAACAACTTTTAGAAATTAGAGGCAAATACTGAACTCCAGGATACTCTACCATCAATTGGAAAGTAGTCAAAATGTGATCCATCCACGACTGCAGGGATAATACGGCTGGGTGGAGCGGCAGAGATTCAGGGGATGAGAAAAACAGTCAAGGCGACCAAATGAAGAAAGTTTGGTAAGAACAGTCTGATAAAAAAAAAAACTTTGTCTAAGACTACTGAGATACCTTAGGAAGCAAGAAAAGGTTCACGAAGGTTATCGACAGGAAGTCTTAAGCGGTGAGTGAGGAGAGGGACGTGGATTAAGAGGAGGGAGGTACTGTATCGTAGTTGTTGTGGGTGAGGAGAGGGACGTGGGTTAAGAGGAGGGAGGTACTGTATCGTAGTTGTTGTGGGTGAGGAGAGAGACGTGGGTTAAGAGGAGGGAGGTACTGTATCGTAGTTGTTGTGGGTGAGGAGAGGGACGTGGGTTAAGAGGAGGGAGGTACTGTATCCTAGTTGTTGTGGGTGAGGAGAGGGACGTGGGTTAAGAGGAGGGAGGTACTGTATCGTAGTTGTTGTGGGTGAATAGAGAGCCATGAGATACAGAGAGGTGCTGTAATATGGCTGCCTGTACAAAACTCTTAATTCTATGACACAGATAAACTTGTGTCTGTCATAGTATTAGAGATATTGTTGTCGTTGAAAGTTTCTATAATGCTAAAGACGACATAATCCATGACATATTGGCTATAACTTCATAGTGGTAGGGGGAGTAGATATAATTTTTTGGCCAGATGATAAACGTGTTAGCAAAGCATCCAAGAATTTCGAGAGATAGTGAAGGACAGTAAACACTCAAGGAGCTTCTAAAGAATTGGATATTCAGAGACACATTTCCGTTGAAGTGGTGAAGGTAATGCCATTTGGGTGAGAGCCTTTGTTGGGATCTAAGAGTCGGAGAGAAAACAAAATATTGCGACTGTGTATTTAAGACATGAGAGTAGCGGGGAAATTGTTGGGATATGGGGGGGGGGACTGGGGGAGATCATGGCCCGGATCAAGAGTGGTCTCGGTGGTAAATAGAAAGTCAAAGGTATTATTATTATTATTACTTTTAAAGGAAGTATTTGTACTGGTAAGATCATGGCGAGTGGAAGGGTTGGAACATTGGGTTAAGCAATCGCAGTATAGCTTCAGTGTGTCTCCAGTAACTTTTCATGGTATATATAGGTGTGGACAATAAATAATTCCACAGGGAGGGAGGTAGGGAGGTAGGTGGTGTGCGGGAGGGTAGAGGTATGTACAGATTTAGCAACAACACATAGAAGTGGCGATCAAAAGTCTACGATTTTCTTACCACAACACAAATTGATTTTATTTTTTGTTTTATTTTAAGGTAAACGCAGCTTCTACTCCTTCCCTGCCTAAGTCTTCTTGCCCACAGTCTGGGGTTCGTTTTCCAATATGATATGCAGTGAATCTCTGACGTGACTGATTAACCCACGAAGTAATGTTTTCTTGTTATAGATGACGAATAGCTCGCGTTGGTAAAAGCAGGAGAAAAGAATAAACATCCCATACCAAGAAGAATGGTTTCAATTATATTTCAAGCATTACTGGAAGACTTCCCTCCAGTCATGTGAGATTCCTGGGAAAAAAATATGAATGGAGGCCTCTCAGGGTCCATCATGATTAAACCCTTGAAAGGCGCTGAGTTTGGGTCCCAAGTCTTGTAGGGTTCACGGTATAGGACAGGGTGTGGACGACGGTGAGGATGATAATTTAAATGAACATTAGTTGGTGAAACGCTCTCTCTTTAGGATTATTGGCTTTTGTCGTTATGAATGTGTGCTTGATTGCATTTACCTGTGCTTGTAATTGGGAGTATATGTGTGTGTGTGTGTGTGTGTGTGTGTGTGTGTGTGTGTGTGTGTGTGTGTGTGTGTGTGTGTGTGTGTGTGAGGGTGGGGGTCTGTCTGTCTGTCTGTCTGTCTGTCTACGTGTTGATTTAAGCATTGTGTTTGATCTCAGTTTTTTTTGTTTTAATGTGTGTATATGTTTTGCATGCTTGATTGAGTGCCTGTGTTATTTTCCTGTGCTTGAGTGTTTATGTGCTCGTGCGTGCGTTTGAATATTTCTCCTATAAGTGTTTGGATAAATGTTTCATATGAACAGGTCTACATACATTTGAACTGAATATTAGCTTTGCTTTTATGCATGTGCGTCTATTTGATTTAAGTCTTATTCTGATGTGTGCGTGTGTGTGTATGTGTGTGTGTGTGTGTGTGTGTTTGATATGAGTGTTTGCCTTTGCTTTTAAGTGTGTGTGTGTGCGTGTGCGAGTATTTCTTTTGTCGTTTAAATATTTTGGTGTACGCATGGATGTGTGCTTCATTTGAGTGTTTGTGTGTACTCGTGTGTATATGTGAGAAGAGAAGGGGAGATGGAACTTTAACATGCAGAGTAGTCGAGGGGAATGCAAAGAGGATTTTGTCAACGGAGAGAGAGATGTCCCATGAGTGAATAATTATATGTAAAACGATTCCATTGGTGTTTATATTCGTATAGGAATATCAAAACTTAACGTCGCTTATATAGATATATTTCCAGGTCATAAGAAGTAAGTGCAGTGAGAACAGTGCTGTGAATTCATGGGCCGAAGAGAAGGTAAGAGGCTGCTTAATTTTGATACTTAATGGTATACGAAATAACACGCACAGTAAAAGGCAAACTGGAAACTCAAACACATGCTACTGTTATTTCATATAGCATTAAGTCTCAAAATTATGTGTGTGTGTGTGTGTGTATGTGTGTGTGTGTGTGTGTGTGTGTGTGTGTGTGTGTGTGTGTGTGTGTGGTCATAAGGATGGTAAACTCTACTATGGTCCTACACCACTATACTGTATAACACCAGTACGGCCACAACCCTTGAATAACTCTACGGACTTTGCTACCCACATTTCACTTACTATTCAATTTAGTTTTGTTTTCTTTAATAAATAGTTTCTAACATTTAATATGGCGTGACTTAAACATTTACACGCCTTAGGTATGATTCCAGCACTCAGCTGACGATGTATATAAACACGACTGTTCGTCAGTGTTTGCAAGGAGGGGATAAAGAGACGTAATTTCATCGATTATATTAGAGGATAGTTAAGATAAAGTTATTTTGGCACGTCGTGGGTCATCAGATTAGGGAGGATGGCGTGTTGTGGTCTCTACTTCATCAACAGGGCGAGATAGGCCAGTGTTCAGGGAAAATTGCCTTGGAGTGTTGTGATATCACGTTCAGTGTCGGAATGTGTTGGAATTTGAGTAGGGAAAAGTTGTGTTTGCGTCACATACGACCATAGATCGATATTGATTACCTTCCAGGGAGCATCCAAAGTGTTATATGTACAAGTCATTTTATAAGTATTTGATAAGTTTCCTGGTGTTCCTGCCTAAAAAGTACAGATTGTCGTAACCGGTGGTCGTGGAGGAGTGCAAGTGTAAGAAGGCTACAATCTGCTTCAGCAACTGGAGAATAAAGTTATTTTGAGCATGCCGAGTCAGAATCTATGTTCGACAGTTGGATTGCGGAGTAATTAGTGGCCGTAATGACGCTTGGAAGATTTTAATGACTTTTTCAATGCTAATTACTTGCCAACTATGTATTTCTATGGTGCAATTTAGGTGTTTTTGTGTTGTTCTGCAAGTACTTAATTAGTTAAAGCCTTAAATTCCACTTTTGAAAGAAAAGTTTATTTCGGTTGACAAATTACTAAGATGTAAGGCTTCCATTTTTGGTGATTTGGGCCACAAGTTAGATTTTGCTGAAAATATTAGTGTAGGTACTCTTGAACATGCTGATTCCGAATCTATGGTCCACGATTCGATTGCGGGGTAATTAGTGGCCGTACTGACGCTTGGAATATTTTGATGACACTTTTCATGATGTTAATTACTGCAATCGCCAACTATTGGTTTCCGGGGTGATTGGTTGGTGTTTTTACGTTCTTTTGCATGTACTTAATTACTGTAGTTAATCCCACCAAATATCAAGTCTGAGAGAAAATCATGTTTGGGTGAAAATAAGCATAAGGGTCCCCCTTGGGGCCTCTTGGTAGTTTCATGGGGCCCCTGGCAGTCATATGGAACCCTAAAATACCCCATGCGGGCCCCCTGGTAGTGTCCTGGGCCCCTCTGATAATCCTATGAGGCTTCTAGGCCTGGCACTCCCATGGAACCCCTTGTCCTGGCAGGGCCCTGGGGCCTCTGGAAGTCCCTTATGCCCTGGAAGGGTCCCTGGGGGCCTCCGAAATGTCCCTTGGGGCCCCAGGCTCTAGTATGGTTCTTGAAGCCACCCGGTAGTCCCATAGAATCCCTGGCCCTAGTAGTCCCATGTGGTCCCATGCACCGGCAGGGTCCCTGGTAGTCCCCCGGGGTCCCTGTCCCTGGTAGGGCCACTGGGGATCCCCGTTAGTCTCCTGCTTCTGGTATGGACCATGGGGGCCTCCTGGTAGTCCAATGGGACCCCTGACCCTGGTAGTCCTATGGGGTCCATTGCAGTGGCAGGGTCCTGGGGGCCCCTAAGGTACCCTGGCAGGACCAGGGTCCCCATGGGATTACCAGGGAGTCTCAGGGAACTACAAGGGTGCCCCCAGGGGGCCTACCAGGGTTTCATTGTGCTACCAAGGCCAGGGGACCCTAGGAATGCCAGAGCCAGGGCCCCTCTGGGAGTCCCAGGTCCATGGGCCCTTTGGAGTACCAGGGCCAAGGGCCCGCATTGGACTACCATGGGGCTACCAGCAGGCCCCAAGGGACCATACCTGGGCCAGGGGCCCCAAGGACCTACCAGGATGCCCCTCAGAGGCCATGCTAAGGCCAGGGGAATCAGGGGCCCCCGGGGACCCTACCATGGCGAAGGGGACTACCAGGATCCCAGAGGGGCTTTATCAGAACCAGGGGCTCCATGGGATTACCATGGGGCCCCCGGGTATTAAGAAGGTGCCCCCAGGGGGCCTACCAGGGCCAGGGTAGGCCCTGTTAGGGCTTCTGGGATGGTCTGGCCCTGGTAGGGCCCCTGGGGAGCCCTGGCCCTGGTAGGGCTCCCCAGGTAGTCCCACGGGCAACTAGCCCTGGTAGAACCCCATGGGGGCCCCCTGGTAGTTCCATAAGGCCCATGGCATAGGTAGAGCTTCTGGGGGCCCTCTGGTAGACCCATAGGGCCTTTGGCCCTGGCAGGATCCCCGGAAGACCCAATGTATTCCCCTGGGGCCTTTGTACAGAGTAATCCCATGGGGCTCTTGGCTTTGGTAGGGCCCCTGGGGGCCCCTGTCAGTCCCTTGAGACCCTGGCCCCTAGTAATCCCTGGGGGCCCCCTAATTCACCTGGCTCTGGCAAGGCTCCTGGTGGCTTCCTGGTAGTATCCTGGTGCCCCTGACCCTGGTATGGTCCAACGAGGGCCACCTGGTTGTTCCATAGGGCCCCTGGTCCTAGTAGTCCCGTGGGGTCCCTGTTCCTGGCAAGGCCCCTGGAGGCCCCTTGGTCCTGGGGCCCTGCCAGGGCCAGGGGTCCCATGGGACTACCAGAGCCATGGGCCCTAGGGGGACCCCTGGGAAACTGTGCTAAGGCTGTAAGCTTAATGGCTTGGGCAGGTAGGTCAAAGCGCTTCCCTCGCTCTCTGAATATTTAATGCTTGGCACAAAGCTCTAGCAGCGGGAGGAGAGACTGAGCGCTGTGCATCGGGAAATATGCATGAAAAATATATGACTGTTACTTATGTTTTAACAAGTGGCTCACTATATGCATGCAGCACATAGTTGGTCATGAATTATACTGTGTGTATGTATATTTGTTTTAATAAATCACAGTAGGTGAGCGTGAACTATGTATATATTGATAACCACAAAGGAAGAAAACAACACGAAACTCCTAAACACATTCGTGTATATCTCTCTTGTAATAAGCGAAAGCACTTGCGATTTTTGTTTCACTGTCTCTGCGTTGATCAAAGTAGACTTCATTTTCACTGCTGTATATTATATGTCATTCAATTTATCAGTGTGTAAGATAATCTAACTTTTTTTCCATCGTTTTAACCTCAAAGCAATACTCTGTTCTTAATTCAGTCTTGAATAACGTAGCTACAAGGTGACATCCAGGAGAAAGCAATCATTATAAGGTGTCACTCCTAAATAGTTTTCATTTAGGAAAAGTTTATGTGGAAATTCTTTAGTTAAAAGTAATTGAATGATACTCTAGTTCACTAATACAAGTGTATATAGTACGGCAGGTATATATTAACAATTAAATAATTACTACAATTGAATTTTAAATAAACAACAAAGTATTTAGACAGTTTCCATATTTAAAAAGCATCAATATTGCTCAAAAAGAAGTTGATCGTATATAAGAGGTTGAATAAAGGGACTAAGAAGAGTAATATTTATCGTGAAATAGCGTGAGAATTGGTGATGGAGAGGAAATGGTGTGAGAGAGGGAGAACGAGGAAAGGGGGGGGGAGGTGAGGCGACCTTTACTGATATTATTGTTGGAGGAAATGGCGTCGAGGTGTGGTGGAGATGGTGTCGAGGGAGGAACCTGCTTGATGGTGGATGTGGAGTTGACCTGCAGGATTGTGTGTATGGTGGAGGAAAGGTGATGAAGGAGGAAAACTATAGGAATCATATAATGAGAGAGGCTGAGAAGATGATGGTGATGGAAGAGGTGATAGAAGAGAAGAGACAAAAACGTGTAGCAATAAATCTACGAAAAGAAAAAAGTCAGAGAGAGAGAGAGAGAATAAAATCTAGTTGAGGTGGCCAACGCAGGCAGTAGTGAAAGAGAATATGGTGATAAAAAAGCCGAATAATATTTTTTATAGAAGGACGAAAAAAGAGAGAGAGAGAACACGTTAGAAATTATATTATATTGCTGTCAGGGAAGGAAAAAGAACGAACAAAAATAATGGCAGGAATAAATGAAGAAAAAGACAGATGAAATAATTTTTTGGGTGGCGACGGACCAAAATAGGGAAAGGGAGAATATTTGATTGTGACGGAGACGCGCAAGAGGAGAAAATTCTCTCAGCGAAAAGAGAAAAGAGAGAGGAAGTTAGAGAGATGAAGAGAGAGGGTAAGAAATGTTGTGTGTCGTCAGGAAAGCCAGAAAATAGGAGAAATGTTTCATATTATACAAAAGAGAAGGAACGAAAAGAATAAAGCGTCACGACATATAATAATAAGGAGAACAAACGATAAATATTTGCTGTGAGAGAGATAATGAGATAGCCACAGTGGAGGAAGTGATAGTACGGTGTTGTTAGGACTCACTGAGGTGTTGTGATTCTTTTAGTGAGTGAGAATAGAGGAAGGGTTTATGACGTTACAAATCAACAGTGAAAATAAACCAAGAAAATGAAGCCCTTGAGAAAACAATAACAACAACTAAATTACGTGAAAGAGGGAGAGAGAGTAAGAGAGAAAGTAGGATTTTTTATTGGGGGGGGGGAGGGAGGGAGGTCTCATATGCCTAACATTCCCGTTAAGGAAGAGTATAAACCTTCGCTACACAAAGAGGCTGTGTATCCGGCTATGTACTCGACAGCCTTCATTTACCCAATCGAAAGGTAGGAACCCATTCACAGCTTGGTGAACTAAGGGTGCCCCGGGGATCGAAGTAGTAACTTATAGTACAGGAGGTGAGAGCCGCACCCAGTTTTCCTTATGGAGGGAGGAATAATAACCCAACAGTTTCATCTTTAGTGAAGTAGTTGATTGAGGTGACGTGCGGGTGAGGTCAGTAAACATTATCAATATATACGATATAGATTTTGCTGTCAATATGTTTGTGCTGCTGACACAAACACGTCAACCAACTGCCTCCTGATAATACTATTTTCTCCTCTTTTTGATTATTTTAGTTATCTCTTTTATTGTGTATATCTATGTAATTCCTGTGTATACACTCAATATAATAGCATCAGTTATATACCTTCCAGGACACCAGTTGACAATAACATGTTAATTACTAAGTATTTTATATTCATTATTTTTCTTATTTACACCATTCAGTTCCTTACCTGCGTCATTTATCTGTGGTAATTGAATAACGCACTTCACCATAACACTTCCCGGAAAAAACAAGGAAAACACCATTTTACATTTTCCTCTGCGTCCTTGAACCACTTCACCATGACACTTACCTGGAAAAAAACACCACTCCACCTCCCCCTACCCGTCTGATATAACACATTGTCCCAAACACCTTCAGTTTGTTTCCCCTCCACTTTTATTTACTCTAGTGCCTTCCAGTCTTCCACGAACTCCTTCCTAGTGCTATTGACGTGAGTACCTCCTCCTCTTTCTCTCTCTTCCTCTTCCTCCTCCTCCTCTTCCTCCTTCAGGTTTGCTCCACTATCCTCACTATTGATTAATTCAAGGCCACACTGCCTCCTCACCCTTTTCCTTTGATATGTTCACATCAACACCACCCTTTCTGCACCACCACACGCAAGGGCCGTGCCAGAGTGCCTGTGTTTAAAGTAAAAGGGAAGGATTCAAACGTTTTATTAATGTGCCGCCGCTGAATGGAGTCAGAAAACACAAACAAAGCGTCTAGCCGCGAAAAGCTTCCCCCTAACAGAACTTGTACTTTGTTGTTCGTTTGTTAGCTTAGCGTTTCTCGTCTGTTTCCTGAGTTATTTTACGTTATTCATGTGTCTATTTTCGTTATTTGGATATTCTCTTGTTCATTTCTCGTTATTTGGGTGTGTCACTTTTCCTATCTTTGATTAGTTTTGATGTTCCTGACGTAGATATATTTCGCTTTATGGACGTTCCTTTGTTTATGTCTCGTTACTTGTATATTACTTTTATAATTTATGTTACTTAGATGTTTCTTTAGTTCTCCTTACTTTAATATCACTTACATCCGTTGCTCTACTCATCATTACAAATACTGAAATATATTACGACTGTTTAGCGTGGCAGCTGATTATACCAAACAAAATATATCAAAAGTATAAAGAAAAAAAGACCCACGATACAAGATACTGCAGCAATGAGTGACAACTACAGTATACGGTCATAAACAGTACGGGTATGTTGAGGAGGACGCGAACTCTTTCACTGTAGGTAAGAATGACTCCTAATGGGCGCTTAGCTCCTTAGAATGACACCACAAAACAATATAAATTCAAAAAATTTAACAATCATTCGAACTATAACATATTTCGCAACCCCAGTGAGCTAATGCGAGTTAATTCGTACAGTGGATAGAAGTGCTGAGTGAATTAGGAGGGAAGCGAGGTGTCTGGGAGGGCTGGCGTGAAGCTTCATAATGGTCCATCAGTGTAGTTACATGGGGATGACTCTCTCGTGGGACTGCTCACACTGTTGAATTTCTCATAATTAATTGTTGTAACAGCCACTGAAGTTTGCCATTTTTATATTTAATTTCCTTGATTAATTTTAGCATTTTTGTGGTGAAATTTTGCTTATAATCCCAGTTTAGGTGGTTGTCGATGCACCGAGTAATGATCGGTGTAGAGGGAACGCTTACCCCCGAACATGTTACCATGGATAAGTAACTGTAATAATGCAGTTTCTTTCTGTTTCTAAAATATATCCATACTAAGGTGCTCGGGGGTAAGCGTTGACTTTACACCTTGGTTGACCACCGATTAATTACCTGGTTTGTATTTTTCAGGAGGCGGGAGACAGAGTGACCCTGTGGAGTTGCTGGGGTCACCTACAGGTAGACCTTTACCTGGATGATAGAGTCATTAATGCATTAGAACACTGGCAATATCTACGACTCGAAGCTTCTACTCGTAGGTTGTCAGACCTCCAAATCTTGACTGGATGTAACAGGTCAGGTCCTGAACGATGAACCTGGAAGACACCTGTAAGATATTTTGTTCACTTATCGCTCCATTACAGACACTCACCTGAGTTTACGAAGGTGTCATGGTGTGAGTGCTGGAGGAACATAAATTCCG